GCGAGAACTCAGCCGTGAAGGGCAGAGGTGGGAGTCGATGCAGACGCGTGTAAGCTGTTCACCACGCTAGCAGCAAGCGCGCTGGCAGCGGGCGCGTAGCACGGGAAGAAGCGGTCAAGGATGCGACCGGGCGTTGTCGTGCATGGGCAGCGGCGCACTGAGCGGGGGCGCGAGGAAGGCGAGGAGACGGCCGTGCAGCGCGGAGCTGGGAGTCAACGGGGCTGCGCATGTCTGCAAAGGACTTGAGGGCTGCGAGGCGGGGAGGCGGCGGAGGCGTGGCGCAGCGTGGGGCAGCGTGTACGTCGGCTCGAGGTAAGTCAGAGACGGGGGGCGATGGAGGATGCGGCACAGCGAGCGCCGTCGCGGGGAAGACTTGTAGGACGCGCAAAGAGGGCCGTGCAAGGACGACGAGTGCGGGCGGGGAGTGGGTAGTCTGTACCGGATACGGAAATCAGCATGGGGGTAATAAAGGTGAAACGACGACGGTAAAGAGGGAATGACTCGGTGGGAGGAGTACGACTATAAGCTTCATTCGTCGATCCTCCTCCGTGCCCGGAAGCCCGCTGCCTCCCTCCGCCAAAAAAAAAAGTGAAGTAAAGATGCTCACCACGACAACGACCCGCTCCGCCGCCTCGAACGCGCACGGCGTCCCCGCCTCTCCATCCCCTCCACCTCGTCCTCTTCCGCCTTCCCTTCCCCCTCCTCATCCACCGACACTCTCAGGCCGAGCACCATACGCACAGGCACCCTTGCCCCCACAACCGTCTCTCGCCGTGGAGGCGGAGAACGACGAGAGAGACGGGCTTGCGACGACGAGCCCCGCGGATAGGGCGTACACGTATAGCGCGTGCGGCGTCCTGAAAAGAGGAATGACATTGTGAGTCGACCAAAATTAACGAGAAGTAGACGAGATGGAGATAAGGAACGTTGGAGAAGTAAGGGAAAGGATGAAGGACGACCGCGCGCGGAGGGTCGGAAGAGGGCATCTGCTACTCGCCAGCACCAAGCACGGATACTTGGGCGGTCATATCGAGCACTGCCGCCACCCGCGACGCCCGTGACCGTAAATCCAATACCAAGCGGCATCTATGCCCTGCAGACACGCGCATCCTGCGGCGAGCGGGCGGCTGCTACCTCGCAAAGTACCACGCCCCGCAGCTCGCGCGACCCGTCCAAAGATCGCAGCTATAGATAATACGAAGATATCAGATCTGTGCCCGCGATGAGTCGGCACAAATTCACCCCCCATCGCAAGCGCGGACAACACCGCCGTCGCGCCGCGCAGATCGCAGCCAATCGCAGCCACCGCACACCTCCACTGACGCGAGATCGCACGAGGACCACCAGCTTGTCGCGAGTGCGGATAGCGCATGATACCACTGCAGCGCCATCGCCGCTCCCCGCAAACATGCATCGCAGATCGCGCCGCGCAATCGACATCCCAGCTGAGGCGCGCGCTCGGCGCGAGATGCGCATGCGCGTCCACATCCTCGATCCCCGTCCGATCGTGCTCGATCGTGGGGCTCCCCGACCTCGAGGTCGCCCCAACGGCGCTTGCGGGCACCGTCTCCATCTCCATCGACGCGCCAAATCGATATCCACATCCCATGCGCGCGCATCCTTCCGCCACGCACACGAAACATCCAACAGACGTTCGCGCCTCCCTCGAAAGCGAAGGAAAATAACGAGGACAGGGAACAGAGAGACGAAATCAGGAAATGAGGAAGGACACGCACAGTATAGCTCCAATCCTCCTCCTCCTCCTCCTCCTCCTCCTCCACTCCTCTCGTTCCGCACCGGCCGGACATATCCTGCTGCTCGCGCCGCACGCATCACCGTCCAAAGAAGAGTCGAAAGCCGCCGGCGTGCGCGTCTTAGTCGCGGACGCGGATGCGGCCGAGGGAGGAGAGGGGATCGGCAAAGTAAGCACTTTGTCCACCCCAACGCCGCCGACGTCCCAGACTTGCACGGCGGCGGAGTAGGTGATGGTGATGGTGAGCAGGCGGCGGGTCGTCGTTGAGGCGGAGTGGGGAGTACTGGGAAAGAAATGGATGAGTTAGGGAAGGGAAGGGATTAGATTATGGAGGAGTAAGGCGGATAAAGAAGAAAGGATAAGAACGATCAAGATGTACGCGTAACGTCTCGGGAAAGTCGCCCACAAGAAACAGACGCAAGCGCCAGTCCCGACTGGATGGCGGCGTCAACGACAGCGCCGAGAAGAGTCACGCAGTCAGATCCAGTAAGATCGAGCAATCGAGTCCCCGCATCTCGGGAGCAAGGCATTCCGGGGACAATGCCAGCCACAACGAGGAAGACGCCGGTGGACCGACTGGCAAGACGATCCCAGATTGAGTAACGCAGGCAAAACAAGCGAGCCGCGCGTCGCCCGAGAAGCCAAAAGAGGGATGGATGAATAGACCGGCGAAAGAAAAGACGTCTCGCTCCATGCAGGCAGCTCAGACCGGAAATGAAAACGCCTCGAAAGGAGTAGGAGTAGGAGATGATGGAGCGAAAAAGAAAAGTAGACGAGGTAAAACGTCGCAGCACACGTCTTCTCTGAAGACTTTCGAATGGGCGAAAAAGCCCGCGCCTGGCACCCGCGCGCGACGACAAAAGAAGGAACGAAAAGAAAAGAACGAAAAAAAAGAAGCGGAATTGCAAAAGGAATGGAAAGTAACGTACCCATTCTCCCTGACGTCTACCTCGTCCCATCTTGCACCCAATATCTCCTCCCCCTCCTCTTCGCCATCCCCATCTCGACCCCCATCCCTGCCCTCTCCACCCCCGTTTGCATGGAGCGTGTGCGGATAGGGATACGAGGTAACACCTCGTCGTCGTCTGGCAACGGCGTGAGGTAATCGCTCCTACGTCGTTGTAGGCGTGAGGCGGAGTGAAGGAGGAGTGTATATATAACCCGTTGGAGAGGCGTTGGCCTGCGGAATACGAAATTAGGACGTGCAAACAAAAGGGACGCAGCGACGCACGGTGGTTAGGATTATCAAGTCTGGGCTGTCTGATTCGATGATGATAGAGTAAGGTAGTCGTCGTGATGCTTGCTGGGCTCGATGAGTACGACTGGATTCCAGTGGCAGTAAACAGACAGATACGCACTCGGAAAGAGCTTCACCGGCGAAGCAAAAACCGTAACGGAGCCAAGTGAATAAGCAGGAGGATACGACTGGGGTCGATTCGGATTAAAGCAATAATTGGGTGCGTCGGTAGGCCGAGCACAATAGTCAGTCTTGAATCGAATGCCGCCCAAGGATTCGTTTGAGAATGAAGGGAAAAGTCATCGAAACCAGTGGAGGAGACGGAGAAAGTTTTGAAGACGAGATAACCCAAGTAGAATCCGAGAGAGGTGAGTGGGAGAGATAGCAGAGAGGCGATGGGCGAGTTGGATTGTGGTGGGCAGAGACAAGATCCACCGTCGCCTGCTGCGGCAAGCACCGGCAATCACACCGGCGGGTTAGGATCAATCGCCCCTTGTCCCGAACCTTCAACGAACCTTCCTGAATTGCGGGCGGGATTGCCCTGGGGTTTGCCAGTTCTCACTGGGGCTTCACTTGTTGCACGGCTTATCATTCAACTCTCTTCGCTTGGAGGCTCTGCGACTAGCAACTTCAATGGAACGCATTCACTTTCTTTCAACGCTCGAACTTGAAGACTCTTGCTTCCCCCCAGCCCAGTGCTTTATCTGGCTCCCCTTTCCGTGGTGTCCTTTTGCTTCTGCGACTCCACTCCTGCTCAACTTCAAATTCATTTCCCCTGCTCGCGCCCTCTCGGCAAAATTATCCCCTCGATAACGGCACATCCATCGCCAGTGTCAGACACACAAACTACACTCCGATTCAACCCACGTACTCACCCGATAGCACATGCGTGCGCCTGTTAATAATGGCCCGCTGAAAGAACAGTTGAAGCAGGAGGTCCCCGTTCGATTCGGGTACTAATGCAGGAAGACGTTTTTTTTTTCGCCCCGTTATGTTTTTATTCCTCGAATGCGTCCAGACTGAACCTGCCGCAGCTGCATGCATGTCTATCTGGCAGCGTCGGTGAGTTTTCGGCGCTCAAGTGTACTCAACGATACCGGGCAACAAGATCTTTCGTCGCACGCACATTGAACGCTGCTGAAGGGATGTAATCACCCGATTGCACATGCGTGCGCCTGCCTACAATGCCTCTGTCGTCACACGGTTGAATGCAGGAGGTCCCCGTTCGAACCAGGGTTGGGTGATAAGAGTGCGTCCTCTTCTTTGCGCTGTTTTGTTCCAATTCCGAATCTAATCCGCTCTATGTAACTGGAACTTCCGCTACCTGGAACTTCCACAGGCGCGTTACAGTACTTGAAAATTCGAGCTTCGTTTCGGTCAGTCGCTATTTTGTCTGGCATACTTATATCGAGGGATTTCAGGCGTTCAGATTTGTTCGATGCCAGCGGACCGCGCAATGCGCATTCCTCCAAGCGCACCCAACGCCGGTTAATACAAGCCACGCACCCACCCGATAGCACATGGAGTGCGTCTGCTGACGTTATAACGACCGTTTGAGAACAGGAGGTCCCCGTTCGATTCGGGGTCGGGTGATGAAGAGTGAAGAAAGTGCCTCATCTTTTTGTTTCTCTCTCCCAGCATCTTTCCTGACTTCCCACTGTTAAAACTTTGGTCATCCACGACACCAGAAGATCCTCCGCTCAACCAAACGTCTACAACCACCCGATAGCCCATGTCTGCGCCTGCTATGTACCAATAAACCGGTAGCGCAGGCGATCGACGTAGGATCGGGTGATGATGTATGTTCTTCCTCACTTTCATTGTGCCGTTATTTCTTTGTTCCTCAAATGGGTCCAGACTGAACCTTTCGCAGGCGCGTTACATCACTTCGAGCTTCGTTTCTTTTATCCGTCGACTCCGCGGCGAGTTTTCAACACCCGAGTATGTTCAACAACACGAGAACCGTCGATTTTGCCCACACAAGGTTGGTGGAACCTCAAGCCAGGCGTCCACCTGATAGCACATCATCGGCGTGCGCCTGTTAATAATGTGGCAGGTTTTAAAAGCCTTTGACGGCAGGAGGTCCCCGTTCGATTCGGGGTCGGGTGATGACCGGCATTCCTGCCCATTTTTCCCCCGCTGTTTTTCGTTTCTCGAATCCGTTTTGACTAAAACTTTTGCAAGCGCGTTACAACACTTCAACCCTCGTTTTGCCTATGTGTGAACTTGCTCATCTCTCGGTGAGTTTCAACTTTTACTCAAGTCTATTCAACGACACCAAGAAACGACACCTGCTGTTGCACACTGAACGGGTCATGTAGCCACCCGATGGCACACGGAGCGCCCCTGGCAAAAATGCAAGGCTCACGCTCATGCATGAACACAGGAGATCCTCGTTCGATTCGGGGTCGGGAGATATTCGCGTCCATTGGCCTTTTTTCCCTCGGCTAAAAACCCTGGCGAAAGGCGAATTTCAAGTGTTCCGTGATGTTCAACTGAGCACCGTCACTCACACAGGAGGCTCGCCTTCACGTCTTGCAACCACCAGATAGCACATGTGTGCGCCTGCTAGTGATTAGTTGTCGATAGCGCAACCGTCGAGGAGGTCCGCCCTCATTGGGGGGCTGACTTCGGACACAGCCAGGACGCAGCATTTTTGCGTAGATTTCAAGCTCTTTTTTTTTTTTTTTTTTTTTTTTGTTTAGACTCTGATGATTCCGTTGAGCCCTGGGTGAGATTTATGTACAGAAAAACGTGGGCTTTTGCCCATACTAATACGTCCTGACTGATCGGCGATTCAACTTTTCACTCACTCGACTCGCTTCATTTCGTGTATTCAAATATGGCAACCTGCGCATCATAATCTCGGTGAGATTCCAACGCTCAAGTCTTGAAACCAGGGCCTTCCCGTTGCACATCGTGCACTGTCATTCAACCACCAGATAGCACATTTCTCAGTCAACATCCTTTTTCTCCCTCCTTCAAGACTCCAGCCGGACCCTGAGCTTTGTAAGAGCTCGTAGTTATCATGCAGACAAGCGCGGGGTCCCAGGTCAACGAAGAAGTTGAGTCGAAATCACACCCGACCCGATTAGGGTACCCGGTATGCCGGCTTGCCGCTTGGTGCCGGCCGTCGACGTTTGATGTCAAGCATGACCACATAATAATTTTCTTCCTTCTTGTTTCCTCCTGTCACTCCGCCACACGCCACAATTTACCCCCATAACCGTCCCAGGTGAGCTCGCGGTTCTCTTGTTGAGCGTGAACCTCTGGTAAATCGGGCTTCACTTGGCAGCCACTGAAATGACAGAAGATAGACGAATAAACGATCTCTGGTTCTCCACTGACGGACTTGTGTTGCGGGCGGAGAAAAGCATCTTCCGTGTCACAAAATCCATCCTGGCTGCACGCTCCCCTGTTTTCCGCGACATGCTCGCTCTCCCGCAGCCACCCGGCCACGAACAAGAAATTATCGACGGCTGCCCGGTTGTTTCTTTGCACGATTCTGCGGCGGATGTGGAAGTGTTTCTGAGGGCCGTCTTTGACTCGAGGTACGCGTCAGCTTAAAGGATTTCCAAGTTCCGTCTGACATTTCGCGAGCTACTTCATGCCACCGCCGGAACCGGTCGAACTGCCTACGCTTCTTGGCATCCTTCGACTTGCGCACAAGTATGACGTCCGGTACCTCTACATCCGGGCCCTCAAACATCTAGCCGTCTCGGACTGTCCGACCGAGATGCACGAATATCTCGCTACGCAACTTGATGATTCCCATATCGTTTATCCCGAGGCATACTGCTTCTGGTTCGCCAAGCTCATCGCCACAGCGAAAGTTGTTGGCGCACTCTGGCTACTGCCCATGGCATATTATCGCACCACGCTGTGTTCATCTGGAGAATTATGCTCAGCACTGACGTCTGGAGCTGAAGCGGACATCATCCAAACGTGTCTGGCGGCGCAAGCCGAGCATATGAAAGCCAGCATTGCCGTGAACAGATGCCTTGCACTTCCCTCCGGCGATGGGTGCACGGTTGGCTCTGGCTGCGTAAAAGTGCGCCTCAAAAAATTGGATCGCGTCCTCGAGGAGCTCGAGGCGGATTATGTTGCGAGCCCACTTGAATATTGGCGCGACGATGACACGTGGGATGTCATGTTCGGTTACGACCACTTATGCCCTGATTGCGTCCTCAAGGCGAAGGAGCACCATCGAGCTGCCTTTACGAAATTCTGGGACAAACTCCCGAGTATATATGGCCTGCCTCCTTGGCCGGAACTCATTGTGTTGAAAGATACTGCAATGAATGAGACCGCTTAGGTTCGTGATCTGCCGATCGTTGCTCACGAAGTGCTTACATGTACACCACACCACTGCAGGTAGTAGCTGCCTTTTGACTTGAAGCACAATGACAGATTCTGCACCGCTCCCGAGTAGATTAAGTCATCAATTTCATATCCGTTCTGCAGTAGCCACCGCCACTGAATCTCGAGATGTTGAATGAACAACTCGGCACGGTCATGAAGCAGGCCATTTCACAAGTCGAATTATCCATCTTCCCTTTCCAAGCTAACATCCGGGATTTGACACCGTGTATTACAAGTCTATCCGTAAGGTCGTCAAAACTCCCCTCACTCACACCAACGGACTGTCCGCCTCCTCAACAACACCTGGGCGATGTCCAGTTGGGGTTCGGTCCCTCTTGCGGGCCTCAAGACGCCTGACATTCTAAACCCATGCTTCATTGCATGACAAAACCAAAGACCCTGGAGGTGATCTTCAATCAGGCATCGAATTTTAGCACAAGGAGGTCAGGGCCAAGAAGCACGGGATTTTGGAAATTATTCAAGGGAGGCGAATGCGTACCGATAGCAGATATTCAATGGGGGAGGCCACTGCGTTGGTAGTTTTATAGGCGAAAAGGTGCAAGGAAATGGCGTAGATACGAGAATTATCTAAGGAGCGATTGGATCCCGCCTTTCTCCCGTTGTTTTGAAGGTATGCGGTTAAGCTAAAAAAGATTCCAATGTAGAAAGGCTATCGCCCAGGCTCGAATCGAATGAGCAAATATTGCAACAATTGGACGCCAATGATCCCCATTGGCAGCAACCGCGGACCATCCGCCACTGGGCGTCCTTCAGGAGTCAGGTTCACGTCCGTTAAATTTGAAAAGGTTCGCAAGGGTCCAGACATGCGGGCAAGATCTAACGAGCGGCTCTTCGCAGAGCAATAGCGGCACAAGCGCAGGGTAGATTCGGGCCTCAGGGGTTTGTCATGTCAGAATGAAAACATCAGCCTGAGCCAGGGAAGCAGACCGATATTCAAGGCGACAAGATCAAGGTCAGCGAGCCCTTATCCGTTATTGGTGACACTTTATATCAGTCAGATTCAGAAATGCAATCTAGTATAGAATGCGTTGCGCTGCGTTGAATGCTTTTGCGCAAGGAAGAAAAAGATTTCGGCCACAAGCGTTATTGTCATTGCGCCGGCTCGAATCGAACGAGGTGTTGCCAAGGAATGCGGATACTGGTAGCAGCGGACAGTCTGCGACGGAGCGTTCATGGCCTGACTGCTGTAATCGCATTCACATCGGCTGGATTCAAGAAGGCGCAGTGGAGGCGGGAGCTGCAAAGTTCGAGAAAGTCCATAGCTTGCGGACCCCGGGCCGGGCCAGATTCAACGGACAGAAGCAGTTGCCCATCGTGGAGCAGTTCATCGTAGGTGTTTGGGGAACACGTCGAAAAACAAGATCAAGAGCGAACGGTTGTTGTGGCAGTGCACCTGTTTGAGCGTCCCAGATCCGAACTGAGGAATCTTTACCTCCGGAAGCAACTTGTGTACCATCTGGGGAGAAATGAACAGAGTTTATAGGGCGAGTGTGGCCTCTCCATGGTGTGGCCAGAAGGACCCCTGTGTGAGCATCCCAGACCCAGATCATCTTGTCAAAAGAGCCAGAGACAACTTTGTTGCCATCAGGAGAGAAATCAACAGATTTTATCCAGAATGGCTCCGGGACATCAACAAGTGCTGCTTGGGCATTCCAGATGCGAATATCATCGATGGATGAAGATCCAATTTGCATACCATCTGCGGAATAGCAGACAGATGTGATGCCACAAGGAGAGCCTGTGAATGGGCCAGTGACAGTGACACCTGTCCGAGCATCCCAGATACCCACTGTCCTGTCCAAAGATCCAGATACAATCTGTGTACCATCCGGAGAGAAACAGAGAGTCTCTACACGGCCCTTGTGAGGCATGAGTGCAGTTACAAGGGTGTTTGTTTTTAGATCCCAGACACAGACTGAACCGTCCTCGAATCCAGATGCAATTTGTCCGCCATCTGGGGAAAAATCTAGAGAGCAGATTCGATCGCAGAGTCTACCTTTATGAACGACTTTGCATTCTGCAGCAAGGACCCCTGTTTGAGCATCCCAGATACAAATTGTCCACATATCTGAGGATCCAGATGCGATATACATGCTATCCGGTGAGAAACAAACAGGCAGAGCGGAATAACTGTAATGTAGAAAAGGGCCAGCGAGGAGTTCACCTGTGTGAGTGTCCCAGACACAAACTTGATTGTTCCTGGATCCAGATACAATCCGTGCACCATCCGGGGAGACATGAAAAAACTCAACCCTGTCAATGTGTGTTGCAGTAAACGGCCCAGCAAGTACAGCACCTGTCTGAGCATCCCAGACATAAAACGTCCCATCTCTATCTCCGGATGTGATCTGTGTGCCGTCTTGTGCGAAATGGATACAGTTCACCCTGCCCGTGTGGCCTGCAAATGGTCCCGCAGCAAGGACACCAGTTTCAACATCCCAAACACAGACTGTCTTGTCCCCCCCAGAAGCCAGTCGTAGACCATCAGGGGAGAAGGCAACAGCTCCAACATCTTTGTGACCCTGTAGCACCTTCCGGATAGCAGGCCACCTTGAGCCCAGACGACCATCAAAGCCCACTGTGTTTGGTAACCACCTCTTGAGCTGCTTTGCTATCATTGACTCTCTGGGGGCAAATGGAACAGCGGAGAGATAAATATGAGGGGCACTCTGAGCTATCAACTGTGCAAATGCCGAGACAAATTTGGTTGTGTCGATTATGAGATC